ATTAATTAGACTAACACATGTCCAACTTATTATTAACAGTTGGCGCATTGAGTCCACCAATATCACCAGATTCAAGTTGTTTCAGAAGGCGAAACAAAGCTGCTGCTTCCCTGATACGACTAAATTCAATACAGAAGGCCTGTACTTCAATAAAAAGTTCTTTTACATTTATAATTTTATTCCTTATCAAGGATTGCAGAAAAACACAAACTAAGCGCACTAAACGATTTTGCATGTAACGATCCTTAATAGTCTCGCACGTGGAAATACAGTTGCTAATATATAAATGAACAAATTCTGTAGGTAGATCCACAGTAGTAGTTAACCTATTAACTACTTCCATTGAATGCAGAGACATTTCCATATTTACCAAAACACTTAAATATTCTGTTATTTGACTTGATTGCATAAGCTTCAGTAATACCTTGATTGCAATCATAGGATTATTTTCCACTAAATCTGGTAGTTTTCCTGGGGTAAGGCCAATATGATATACCAATTTTGGATCTCTGTCTAGTTCATCAAAAAGATGTTGTTGTTGCTGTAGCGTTACCACACGCTTAAAAGCCTTGCCCATTAATCTCCTAGCTTCTGCGCCAGCACAATTGGAAACACACATGTTACTATCATATTCAATTGTAAATTGGGAAGGTTCTGTGACATTGAGCCATGTCAATTCATCAAAAGATCGATAAAGTGGTGGTGCTAATCGTAGAAACTCAGGTCGATAACTTTCATAGCATAAAGGAGGATTATCATTATACATGAAATTCTCAGCCATAAATTTTGTTACATTCCTAGAAATATAATTCTGTGTGACTTTGGCATGATCCATATCAGGTAATATCACTGGATGTCCACATTTTGCTATAGCTGGTAATTCCGAATGACGTTCCATTAGCTGTGCTTGCAAACTACTTAAATCAATAGATTGTACAGATGTGAAAGACAACTCGTCTACAATCTGTCTTGGAGTTTTCTTTAAGATGTCTTTTTGATTGTTTCCCAGCAAACTGATTAACAAGTTTTTTTCACATTGGGATAAAACTGGAATATGTCCTGTGAAATTAGTTTTTGAAACACTGTTGTTTATATCTTTCTGCGACTTTAACACCTGAATAAAAACAGGTGCAAAAGGTGTTGTAGCCAATGGTTCCCCTCTATAAAGGTCAAACAATAATGCTACTGCTATCACACGTTGAACACTTTTTGGCAATAAATCTATGTGTTGCAAGAAGAGAACCAATGTTGTTCCCACATTGAACCGGTCCTCTTTTCGAAATACTTGATGTAACTGGTTACATAGAGTTTCCAAGTTTGTGTCAAGGTTTTCCTCTTCAAGGATATCCAACAATTTTGTCAAACCGTTTGGCCTGAGCGTCATGTTTAGAATAGAATTTTGTCAAAAAATCTCTACGTCGTCGTCACATAACCTATGCACACTAACACGTTAATAATTTCTACTACTTAATAATTTCTCTGGTTATATAACATATATTATGTTATAGCATCTTGATTGTTGCTTTTCACAATAATATACATTGATACCTCAATTCCAGTGTAATGTTTCAGTTTCAAAATCATCAATTGTAGGTACTGTATTATAACCTGATATGTATATTTCAGAGATTTCACAGGTTACAACTGGATTTAAACTTGAATCAATTATGTTAACTAGATCAAAAATTTCTGTCAAATACGATGAACTGTTTCTTTTTTGTTAAGTAAAGTACATGATTAGTGTGCATGAAAAAAATAGAGTTACGAATAATCGCCACGCTATTTAACGTATACAAAGGTAACCAAACTACGGACCAATTTCTAAAGGGTTGGTGTGGCGCTAGTGAAATGTGTCTAAAGCGAATAACGATTGTCATTTCAAGATAAAGTTTGATTTATTATAGATACATAAATCTAAGTGAAATGTATTCATGAAAATATTTTTATTTTGTCAGCAAGACGTTAATAATACAAGAAAATATTTGTCATATGAAGGAAGCACAAAAATCCTAATGTGACATTTTAAACAGAATTCTCTGGCTGCAGCGCGCTCCGTTAGAGAGAATATGAGTAGAAATTGCTTTGCTCTGATTGGCTGACGATTCAATGCTAAGATAGAATTCACTGTGGATTGGTTACGCAGTAAAGTGGTGGGGATGCTTGCAAAAGCTAAGGAAAGTAGAAAAATCGTGCAAAACTTGAGGTATTACTGTACATGCATGTAATGTACAATATGTCTGACCAATAAAAATATGCAGCAGACAATTTTAAACGTGAACTGTAATTGTTACATTGTATGTAACATGTATATTTCTAAATTATGTTCTCACAGTAATTAAGAGATTTTTAAATCTAAATGTTAACATTACTTAGTCAGCCAAGCCGGCTTCGATCAAATACATGTACAACTCTTGGTAGTGTTCATTGCGAGGAAATTTATGTGAATTTGGTGTCAAGGCTCTGCTTGCATATTATTCATAATACTTTAAATACCATAAATTAATCATTTTAAGCATCATAGTTTTTAAATAAATTCTACAACAATAAAAAAATGTTGATAAAGTGAGGAAACTTACTTCTGTTCACCGTAATCACAAGTACTCTTCAAAATTATTATCATCTATGGTATAACATTTAATGCCATCGACTACAGCGCCAAGCGCACATGGCCGTTCTGTCAATAATCTATTGCGCGCGCTGCTGTATGTGAGGACGTGGTTCCCCCCCAAATTGTTTAACTATTTTTGGGAATCGCCTAGCAGGCAACCATGGACAAACGAGGAAAGCTCAAGAAGCGCGATGAGAGTGTAGCGTCTCTTGTGGGCCAAAGCCGCCGAAAACTTTCGAGACGAAGACGGGATTGAAGCCGCTACGGATAAGCGATTTGGCGTTGTTGTTTCAAGATCTGCTTTTCGTTACGTCATGTGCATACATCTATATGCCAGATACGCTATGATGCGCTATACGTATGATGAGCACGCACTTTTGACTTACATAAAGAGTCAGTCTTATACAACGTCACCAGCTATCGATACGTACTTGCGTAGCATGGGTGACTTTACCGATGGGTGTGGAAAACACTTTAGACTGGAGCTTCCCGCGTGGCCAAACCTAAATGGAGATTTTGGCAAAATAAATCACGTCGGGGTCACCAATGTAGGGTTCGTGGTGAAATTAAATACGCCAGGTTCCCTACTATACGTGTGCACACTTCGAGGTTCAGAGGTGGAGAGCCACGAGGAGGAAAATGTGCTCCTCGTGATGGCGGCCAGAAAGCCGCCGCGCCTGCGCCATGCGCAGGCGGACGGAGTGGGGGAACCACGTCCCCACATGTAGGTTATGTTAATGCCATCTACTGCAGTATGCTGAGAACTAAGCAGTTTAAATATACACTTTAGTTCACCAATATTTATCTATGCGAGCTATTAAATATAATGGTATATTCGTATACAAATTATTGCATATAAACTGTATTATTATTACTTTATATTTTTTATATTGCTATTCTATATTTTCATATACCAATTACTATAACTGAAATATCGAATAAGAATATTCTGGAAGTGCATTCATATAATAGATGGAATTCAAATACTACAATCTACTTTGCGGTTTATTTATTATTTATTTTGAAAGGCTATGTATGTTTTATTTAATTGTTTTTCGGTTACACTAATCCGACCAAACTGAAATATCATTAATATTTTATTAAAAAATAACTCCCTTTTTAGTCTGGTATACATAGTATACCGTGGAGAAATTGACTTATCATTTATATTGTTTTGTTGTTCCGTAATATTCTAATAGAAGTTTGTTAACTTTTAATCTACTTAAAAGATGGTGCACACTTGATTAATATAATTAATAAAAGGGTTTGTACAAACATTTATTTATGTATAATAATTAATTATACATAATTTTACCATATTTTTGCTAACATAATACAGGAAGAAATTTCTGTTAGACACTTCACAAATTGTTATTTACAATTTCATGCTGTAGAGTTTCTAGCGTATAGAAATTAGACCGAGATCTAACGTATATGAATTAGGTGGAATCGTGTAGAAAACGGTACGTTATGATACGCTCGAAGTAATCAGGTTTGCTAAAGTCTGACATTGATTATCAAAGTTA